CATCTTGACACGGTTCCTGCTCAAAAAAACACAATACAGCCGCACTTGATGTTTCACACTTCCTTGGTCCATATACCCGATGAAAAAATATTTAAAAACACGCAACACCATTGTGATCACCTTCATACAAACAGATATATGAGCACAACATATAGAACTCCAATTACAACCAACATTCACACACCCGCGCCTCCGATGGGGGCAACAAGACTTTCATCAACGCACTGCGCAGCTGTCCAACTGTGAGCCACTTGTTATTGGGTCGTGTCTCCACACCCCCCGCAGCAGCCAGGGCGCGAAGCTCATCTCTTGATATTTCCGACAAAGCACGACGGAGCCACTCGACACCTTGTGAAACAGCTTCTACGTGAAGTTCTTCCAATTTGGCAGCCAATGCAACTTCCTCATCATCCACCTACAGCATCAACACACTGCCACCACAAAAAACACTCATCCTACAACATTGCACCATGTGACAAACATTCAACTTCGGATCAAACACATTTTGACGCATCCAGGCCTCTTTTGGTGGCACCAAGACTTCCATCAATTGCTGAGAACCGGAAAAAATCAACTTTAGTTAAAACCCTTTTTTTGACGCACCCAACCTCCGTTGGGGGCGCCAAGACTTCCATCAATGCGCTGCGCAGCTCTGCTACAGTCAGCCATTTGTGGTTGGGTTGGGTCTGTACACCACCCGCAGCAGCCAGGGCGCGAAGCTCATCTCATGATATTTCCGACAAAGCACGACGGAGCCACTCAACACCTTGTGAAACAGCTTCTACGCGAAATTCTTCCAATTTGGCAGCCAATGCAACTTCCTCATCATCCACCTACAGCATCCAACACACTGCCACCACAAAACAACACCCATCCTACGACATTGAACCATGTAACAAACATTCAACTTTGGTCATAACTTTCTATTGACGCACCCGACCTCCGTTGGGCGTGCCAAGACTTCCAACAATTGAATGCGCAGCTCTCCAACCGTGAGCCACTTCTTGTCCGGTCCACGGCCCACATTCCGAGCACTTGCCAATTTGCGAAGCTCCATTACGGAAATTCCTTCCAGGGCACCCTGGACACTGGAGCCATTCACGGCCCCTGGTCACAGTATTGCTACGCAGCTCCTGCAACCGAATTTCCACGGCATTGGACGACGCAGTCGCCTGCTCCATTCTCACGGACAGTCCCTGCAGAAAATGAAACAGTAACCACAATGCTTTCAAAAGTGTCACGGGTGCGCAACTTGAACCAAACATTTTGCATGCAGATAATGCTCACTAGCAAGCATGTTCACCGACAATCCTTGTCATTTCCATGTTGTCCACCAACAACAAAAGCCGCAACACTGTGCACAGCTACTAGCAACTCCACTGCAATCCCCTTTCGCCCCATGCAACACAAACAAAGTTTCAACAAAGTTTCACCAATGGACATCGTGAATGCCATCATCACTCTAACTTCAACTAAAGCAACCGAGCTCCACACATTCCTAGCGCGGGTGCTACTCCAAGTATCAATCATCCATCCTCAGCCGATGTCCAACTGGGTACCATTATACCGTGAATAATTCCATAAAACCTTACAAAAGTTCGGTATTATCATGCTAAACACAAATCAATCCTTGCAGTCACATGCCACCTCAACAGAAACCAGAACTCAATTTTCAATGCAACCGTTCCATGTCCACGGACAGCCCCTACAGAACATGAAACAATCACAAAACACAATCTCCAAAGAATGAATGCAAGAGCCTATCCAAAGAAGAAAGATGTCGACAGTATTGCTTTAAATGCATCTCTGCATCCACTTGAGGCTCCGACCAAACGATTCGCTTCAACATCCGGCTGAATGCCGCTCGCACAGAGAACGCGGTTGCAAAAATTCCATGCTTGAATCCCACGGGACTCTATGATCCAACTAAACACAAATCAATCCTCGCAGTCACATACCACCTCAACAGAAAACAGAAAACTATATTCAATGCAAACAATTCATGTCCACGGACAGTCCCTACAGAACATGGAACAATCACAAAACACAATCTCCAAAGAATGAACGCAAGACCATATCCACAGAAGAAAGATGTCGACAATATTGGTTTGCATGCATCTCTCGTCCATTTCGCGCGTAAGGGTTGCGACTGACACCTCAAAATCGCAATTTTACCGCAGTTTTTGACGTCCAACGTCCATTTCGCGCGTAAGGCTTAAGGGTTGCGACTGACACCTCAAAATCGCAATTTTACCTCCATTTTTGACGTCCAATGTCCATTTCGCGCATAAGGGTTGCGACTGACACCTCAAAATCGCAATTTTACCTCAGTTTTTGACGTTCAACCTCCATTTTGTGCGAAGGGGTTGCGGCGGATACCTCAAAATCGCAATTTTACCGCAGTTTTGGACGTTCAACGTCCATTTCGTGCGAAAGTGTTGCGGCGGATACCTCAAAATCGCAATTTTACCGCAGTTTTTGACGTTCAACCTCCATTTCGTGCGAAAGGGTTGCGGCGGATACCTCAAAATCGCAATTTTACCTCAGTTTTTGACGTTCAACCTCCATTTCGTGCGAAAGGGTTGCGGCGGACTAACTAAAATCGCAATTTTACTTAGGTTTTGGACGTCCGATGTGCACGAAATGCTGCGCCTGTCACGTTTCGTGGCGCTCCGGCGGCATCGCCCCCGCCTTAAGAGAGAGATAGAAAGAAGAGCGAGAGAAAGAAAGGAAGAGAGAGAGAAGATCTGCAGATTTGAAGGTGCGAGGAAGTAGATCTGCAGATGTGAAGGTGTGAAGATGTAGATCTGCAGATGTGAAGGTGAGAAGATGTAGATCTGCAGATGTGAAGGTGTGAAGATGTAGATCAGCAGATGTGAGGGTGTGAAGATGTAGATCGGCAGATGTGAAGGTGTGAAGATGTAGATCGGCAGATATGAAGGCGTGAAGATGTAGATCTGCAGATGTGAAGGTGTGACGATGTAGATCTGCAGATGTGAAGGTGTGAAGATGTAGATCTGCAGATGTGAAAGTGTGAAGACGTAGATCTGCAGATGTATTACAACGGCTGCTTTGTTACGAAGAACCCTTCGCAGGCACTCTCGGGAAAAAAGCTTCTGTGTGTGAAAGTTTCCGTGTGTAAAAGCTTTCCTGTGTAAAAGTTTCCTTGTGCAAAAGCCTCTGCGTGTAAAAACTTCTCTGTGTAAAGGCTTTTTTGTGTAAAAGCTGCTCTGTGTAAAAGTTTCAGTGCGCCGTAAACGCTTCTGTGTGTAAAACTCCGTGTGTGTAAACGTGTCTGTGTGTAAAAGTTTCTGTGTGTAAATCTCCTTTGTGTAAGAAGGGCTTCTCTGTGTAAAAGCTCCTCTGTGCAAAGGCTTCTCTGTGTAAAAGCTGCACTGTACAAAAAAGCTTCTGTGCGTGGAGGCTTCTGTGTGTAAAAGCTTCTGTGCGTAAAAGTTTATGTGTAAATGCTTTTTGTGTAAAAACTTCTGTGTAAGAGCTTCTCTGTGTAAAGGCTTTCCCGTGTAAAAGCTTCTGTGTCTAAAAGCTTCCGTGTGTAAAGCTTCTCTGTGTGTAAACATTTCTGTGTAAAAGCTGCTCTGTGTAAAAGTTTCTTTGTGTAAAAGCATCCGTGTGTAAAAGCTCCTCTGTGTGTACAAGCTTCTGTGTAAAAGCTCCTCTGTGTAAAGACTTCTCTGTGTCAAAGCCTCTGCGTGTACAAGCTTTTCCGTGAAAAAGCTCCTCTGTGTAAACAGCTTCTCTGTGTCAATCCCTGTGTGTGTGCAAGCTTCTCTGTGTCAAGGCCACTCTGTATAAAGACTTCTCTGTGTAAAAGCTTCTGTGTGTAAAACCTTTCCTGTGTAAAAGTTTCTCTGTGTAAAAGGTTCTGTTTGTAAAGTCCTCCCTTTGTACAAGCTTCTCTGTGTAAAGGATCCTCCGTGTAAAGCTCCTCTGTGTAAAGCTCCTCTGTGTAAAAGCTGCTCTGTGTAAAACCCGTGCCAACAGCTCCGACTTTTTCAGTGCCGCTCCCTCCCAGCAGAGCTCTCCCAAGCTATTTCCCCACGTGCTCGTTCACGCTGATGCATACCCTATGCTTGGGTTATCGTTTAGTTTGCTTCCCTGCAAAGGGAGTGAAAACCAAGCATCGACGGACAGAACGCTGAGCAAAAGGAAAATCCCTCCAACAAAGAACTTTTTCCCATGCATGTCCGGCATGTCCCTTTGCCAAGCGTTTAGACACTGTTCGAGAAGTCTTTGGCACAATTTTTTCGGAGCAATCGCATTGATGAAATTTGTCCTGCAATTTTAGCGCCGCCTCCTGCCAACGAAGCTATATGCATGTCCCATAGCCCAATGTCTGCAAACCGCTTGAAAGGTCTTGGGCGCGCAGTTTTCGGGACGATCGCATTGATAGAATTTGTCCTGAAAACCGGTGCCAACAGCTCTGCTTCTCAGTATGTCCCTTCCGCCCAACGGAGGTTTTCCCAAGCTATATTTCCAACGGTTTCCCTTCCGTCCACCCTGTCGTCGCTTCCGGCTCGCTCCTTCCCACAAAAGGGCTCTCCCCAAGCTATTTCCCACGGTTTCCTCTCCGTCCATCGTGTCGTCGCTTCCGCATCGCTCCTTCTCAACGGAGCTCTCCCCAGGCTATTTCCTACGGTTTCCACTCCGTCCACCCTGTCGTCGCTTCCCTCTCGCTCCTTCCCACCAAAGCTCTCCCCAAGGTATTATTTCCCACGGTTTCCTCTCCATCGTGTCGTCGCTTCCGCATCGCTCCTTCTCAACGGAGCTCTCCCCAAGCTATTTCCTACGGTTTCCACTCCGTCCACCCCCTCCCAACGGAGCTCTCCCCAAGCTATTTCCCATGGTTTTTCCTCCGTCCACCCTCTCGTCGCTTCTGTATCGCTCCCCTCGCGGCAAAGCCAACTAAACGAGAACCCAAGCATCGGAGATGCTTTTCGGAACAAGTGCAAACCACTGACAGTCATTGATAGGGCTGCCTCGAGAACTGCCCCCAATTCTTGCATGCTGAAGAAGTCAGCATTTTCTCTGCAGTAGGACCGTACCTGTTGTGCAGGTTGCAGGTTCAAATCGCTTCAAGTTGCTTTGTCACCCAAGGGTGCTCCAGCGACCCGCAACAGTCCCGATACAAGGCACTCGAAGCAACAAACCGAACTACAGTAACTAGGGACTACATATAACTACATGAAATTACACCAGTAATGAACGAAGCCGCAATATCCAACATGTCTCGACTCTCTCGAGCTTAGAATGTCACAGCTGCAAAGGCCGTGAAGAAGATTGGGAACTTCCTAAGACAAAGGAACATGAGCACCGGCCAAGAAACAAAGATTGGATGATGCGATCGGCACAATGAAAATTACTTTACTTCGTGTGATCCCCACCATGACATTTATACATTTTCTTACTGGCAAATCTTCTGGCATTCTATCTGACATATCTTCTGACATTCTATTTGACATTCTATCTGGCATATCTTCTGGCATATGATCTGGCATATCTTCTGGCATTCTATCTGGCAAATCTTCTGGCATTCTATCTGGCATATCTTCTGGCACTCTTTCTGACATATCTTCTGGCATTCTATCTGACATATCTTCTGGCATATATTCTGACATATCTTCTGGCATATCTTCTGGCATATCTTCTGGCATATCTTCTGACATATCTATCTGGCATATCTTCTGGCATATTTTCTGGCATTCTATCTGGCAAATCTTCTGGCATTCTATCTGGCATTCTATCTGGCATATCTTCTGGCATATTATCTGGCATTCTATCTGGCATTATCTTCTGGCATATCTTCTGGCATATCTTCTGACATTCTTTCTGACATTCTTTCTAACTTTCTTCTGCACATTCTTTGTCCCATATCTTCCTACATGAGGTCCGGCAGGGAACACTTGGCGTGGATACTCGCGGTTGTGGTCCGGCAGGGAACACTGGGCGTGGATGGTCGTGGTTGAGGTCCGGCAGGGAACACTGGGCGAGGATGGTCGTGGTTGAGGTCCGGCAGGGAACATTGGGCGTGGATGGTCGTGGTTGAGGTCCGGCAGGGAACACTGGGCGTGGATGGTCGTGGTTGAGGTCCGGCAGAGAACACTGTGGATCGCAGGTCGCAGTTGAGCAAGGACGACAAGGACGACGAGGACGACGAGGACGACGAGGAGGACGAGGAGGAGGAGGAGAGGAGGACGAGGCAGGAGGAGGCGGAGGAGGAGAAGGAGGAGGAGGCAACTGACATAAAATCTAACAACCCTCACCTGGCAGGTGGGGAAAAATAGAGAAAGACCTTTCAGCAGCCTCTCATCCTGGACCCTGGAACCCCAAAAGCGGAAAGGAATCCAACAATCATCACGAATCTGCATGTATACGCACATCTATATACACATGTATATATATATTAATAATCATATATATGTATATTACACACAGCATCTCATGTCTTTTGACAGTCTGACTGACAAAGCAATGGCAAAGCATTTGGATCGTCCGATTCCTTTGCACCCTCCGGTATCAGACATGCAAAGAGACGGTTTCCACGCGCTTCTATCGGCTAAGCAAAGAACTTCGCAGACCGCATCCCATGGCTCTTCTCTTGTTGTGGTTCCAGGCCATCCCACTGTAGCATTCTGGCGACCTTGCAGCCGACAACCATTCAGGCCCGACTTTTTATGGGTTGGATAGAGGAAATAGAATCGGGAGAACCTGTAGAATGTAGAACATATGATTCTGTATTACCTTGGGTGCAATCTGAATAATTCCAATACCGGAAGAAACAAAACTGCCAATTCCCAACCACGCTGACCTTCTGGAGCTTACTGGGTGGAAAGGGAGGGGAAAGACTCGAAGATATTTCTAAGCATCAGGTCTAGGTGAGTTCTCTGAACATATTGCTGCACCACGCCAAATAAAAAAACTGCGCAATTGATATGCATTCTGCACCATGAAACCTGCTTTAACTTTGAAATGTACTTGTGTGCACCTTCAAGATAGTCAGGCATTCGCTTGTTTCAATCGGCAAAGCGCGCAGGAAAGAGAAAGCCTAAGGCCCCCAACCATTGGAGCAACTGATGCCTGGCCACCCTTTTCCAGGCCTAGGGAAACTCAACGCACCACGCAACAAAACTGAACATCCAGTGCAACGGCAGTCTTCTGCCAAGACGGGCTCTGCCAAGGCTTAAATGATCCACATGTGAAAAGTCCAAGGGACGCCTTGGGTGATAGTGCGTTCGCCATGACTGGAGTTTCACAGAAAGGTTGTCTGACGGACTCCATGCGTTTCTCACTCTCTTGCCAAATTCAATCTCCTGTGAAAGAAATCATTAGACTAGGTATATAGTTGGTCTAGTAACTTCACTTTTTCTGAAAACAATGATGTGTATCCAAAATCAAGGCCACTATGTTTGTCTACCCATTGCCACTACACAAGCGCTCACATATATAGCTTCAGTCTTCTAATGGTACACCGTATTTGGAACCATGATTTGCTACTGTACTGAATATGAACCCCCAATGAAACGTTTACTAATCCGGGGTTGCCATGATGCATTATTATTGCTGAGCAACATCACATGGTGGCACCTTGTGCAAATCTATATTCAGCAGGAATTTGAAACTGATTGATACACTGCTCCTTCGAAATTTCGATCAATGCTCAGGTGAGGGCTCTGATCCAAAACCTTCCGAAGCTTCTTCAGCTTGAGATCATCGTGTGTCACATCCTCATTGCGGAGGAGGATGTCGACTGCCTCACAAAGTCACAAAATGCTGTCATGCGACTCAGGGAAGCACAGGAACACAGCCGCACAGCGCGCATGCCTCTTCTCTAAATTCTGTCAGCACGCAATAATGAGACAATCCACAACGGAACTTCAACGGGGTACTTCGACAAACCTCAAAGACGGAAGCCTCTGCAGGTGCTATGTTCGGGGCCGAAATTTCATCGGTGACGCTATCCAAACTAATCCTTAGGATGCAGCGGGCCAAGTGACCTTGATCACGCCTGGGCGTTCGAAAATGATTCTGTAGGCATAGCAGCGCAAATTATTATGTCCTTGGGAATTGCTCTGCTTGCTGTATCAAGCAATGTGTAGTTACCCCAAATGGCTTTGACTAACCTTGTGCATTATTTGCATCAACTGCTTTGAACGCCAGGAAGGAATCCATTCCCTGGCATTCAATGATGTACTCCAAATTACTCCACTTTCACAGATTTTCCCTTTTCTATACACAACAAGTATATGTCATCCTTGATGACTATTGGAAAGTGCAAGTGCAATAACGTGGAAGTCCAGCACCCCTACTCTGCCCACTTCGCTGAAAGTGCTATGACCAGACAAAACTCTGACCAAAGCCCGCACTCTTCACAGCCTCGCCGAACTAACAAATCCAAACTGAGACATTCATGTGGATCCAGTTCTGGAACTGAGAACGTACCCAAAGAACGCCTCTACTGGAAATAGAAGGCTGCAAATAGAATGCAATGTTAGTTGCATTGTCAAGGGTAGTCTCGTGTGAGAAGAGGGGATACATCTAATGTAGTGGTGTGTAATGAAACCACCTTGGCCAGCAGGGTTGCATACAACTGATTGGTTGCTGTTTGGAATTGATGCACAAAATGGTAGAGGAAACGCAGGCTTTCACAACTTGTTTTTACGTGAGTTTCTTTATGGTGGTGAAACATGTGAAGAACATCGAAGGCTCCAAGAACACACCTGGCTTGCACAGTTACAATACGCGGAACGTTTCCCGTGTTCATGGTTTCAGCCTTCTGATTGATCTTGCGTCTTGCTGTGAAACAATAGGCGCCATGTCTCTCAGTCCCTTCTTACGATATGCTTTAAGAACCAAATCAAGCAAGTTCAAAATGAAAATTGTCAGATTGAGAAGCATTTGGAGCTGCTTGGCATGTGCGGACTCACGTGCTTAATATGGCTACCCATTCGGAAATCAAATGACATGAATCATTTTGATGACATACAAGCAAATATAGGCAAATCCACAAAGCGCTGCTTTAGACATTGCATGTCGTTGACCCCGACCTAGACGACATAGAAACAAGGTAGAATGTGATCAGGGTGAGGTGTTAAAACATAGCAAAAATAGAGCCGTGTACACCTGATGCATTTTCTATCCTGGAAAACAATCTGCTTCTTTTGGCAACGTGTGCTTCTCGGCCCCGCCCCTTAAGTATGTTTGAACGCAATTTCGCCTAACTTGTGAGCAAGCGGGCGTGAACAAGAGTATGTAGCTAGAATAGTAGATTATCGAAGCGAGAGAGCAAAACAAACACGTTCTGCTTGGCTTTCGTCCCTATCAACCCATTGGAGAAGATGAAGATGGTGATGGTGGGCGTTGGCAGCCATGATTGGGGCGGAGACCAAAATTATGTGAGTGCGGATACAGGATGTGGCTGAGGGGGATAAGAGCTACGGCTATGGCGTATACAAAATGATGGTTCGCATGCAGGGCCATAAAAGCAAACAGTTCCAAACAACAACCTCTTCGAACCACTATCAGGTGGTGGCAGCAACCTTTCGTGATCTCCTGTGTGTGGTACCGCGTGCTGGATTTGCACTGTACTTGGCTTGCCATGTCCAATTCATGGGACTACACAAATAGCAGGTTGGCAAGCAGGGGAACCCGCGATCATTGCAGCAACGCCAACAGCCCGTCATGGTTTCAAATTCATGTTGGTCCTTTTTATCTGGAACCTGTGTGCTGAAAGCTGTTCCAAGTATAGCCATAAGTAGGGTTTGTAACATTTCAGGCAAAGAATGAAAGGCTGTAAGGCCCCCATTGTGCAATATTAGCAGGACACACACGCACGTCATACATAAATGATGATAAAGGGTATATAATTTGGTGGTTGATCTAAAGTTCCTTGTAAAGAATAATAATTGCGAAGACCGGCCATGTTGCATTTCGCAATCGGGAAAGTCACATTTTATGTTGCGAAAGTTTCGCCAAAGTTAGGTATTCTGAATCACCACTGTATACATGTATGACTTATACGCATATTTGCGCGAAAGCTCTGCAAAAGTTACGCGAAAGAGAAGGGGGTGGCCCAGTAAGCCTTACACATGCAATCAAATATTGACCCCATATGCAACAACCTGTCCTGAGGGGATTCTGTGATGCTAGCTGCATGTTTACGCGGCTACCATGAAGCAACCTATATATGATTATTTGGTAAGCAGTGCCTGTCTCTTCACAAGGGGCATTGTTGCCCCACATGGGTCCCGCGAAAGGCCAACCTGGAGTTTGCGAAAGTACAATTCTACTTCGCGAAGAATAGCCGTTTCCGGACGAGGATTTTAGATGAATCCAGATACATGTATTGGGGCTATGTTGGTATGTCAACAGCATTATCGATTCTTAACTTGTCGCACCTACCTTTCTGTTTGGGCTTTCAAAGAATAAGAAGATTCCATCCAAGTATAAATGCAACTGAGATTTGCTTTACCTCCAATGCAGAACCATGCTGGAAATCTTTTTCGAGCATCTTAAGCTGGGTGCATGCATCCCTCGCTATGGTTTCATATCTCTTATTTCCAATATATTGAGCACTTCTGGTTTTGGGGCCACTTGTGTTTTTACATGAAAATCAAACGCATTAAATAGTATTCATACGATGGGTCGAGTGACTTTCTAGATAACGTGTATCTAATTTTTGATATTTTTTGTTTTAAACAATTACTTTACTTCGTGTGATCCCCACCATGACATTTATACATTTTCTTACTGGCAAATCTTCTGGCATTCTATCTGACATATCTTCTGACATTCTATTTGGCATTCTATCTGGCAAATCTTCTGGCATTCTATTCTGGAAATCTTCTGGCTTCTATCTGGCATATCTTCTGGCATTCTATCTGACATATCTTCTGGCATTCTATCTGGCATTCTATCTGGCATTCTATCTGGCATATCTTCTGGCATATATTCTGGCATATCTTCTGGCATTCTATCTGGCATTCTATCTGGCATTCTATCTGGCATATCTATCTGGCATATCTTCTGGCATATTTTCTGGCATTCTATCTGGCATTTCTTCTGGCATTCTATCTGGCAAATCGTCTGGCATTCTATCTGGCATATCTTCTGGCATTCTATCTGACATATCTTCTGGCATTCTATCTGGCATATTTTGTGGCATTCTATCTGACATTTTATCTGGCATTCTATTTGGCATACCTTCTGGCATTCTATCTTGCATATCTTCTGGCATTCTATCTGGTATATCTTCTGGCATTCTATCTGGCATATCTTCTGGCATTCTATCTGGCATATCTTCTGACATTCTATCTGG